AAAATATTAAAAACAGGAACATGACTGCACTGATTTTTGGATTGAACTTAAAACTTTAAAGTTTAAAATCCCTTAGGGAGGTCAAGGTCGAGAGCGTCAGATCTTTTTTCAGGGTGTTCCAGGTTACAGGAGCAGAATAGGAGAAGGCCCTGATTTGCCAAATTTGGTCCGCATTGATGGGACACTGCAGGTAATGATGTCTTGGGAGTACACGCTGTAGCTGCACTGACAATGTGACATGTAGGAGGAGATGTATGAAGGCAGCAGACCAAGAAGTGATTTAAAGATGAAAATGCACCAGTGAGAGAGTCTGTGTGAAGTTAATGGTGACCATTTAACCAGTGAATAGTGGGTGCAATGATGAGTACGGTAGTAACAGCCAGTTATGAATCTTCACACATCATGATAGACAGCATCCAACATCTGCAGCATCCAACATCTGCAAGGTGCTTGCTGGAGCGTTCATGTAAATAATGTCACCATAGTCGATGGACGGAAGGAAAGTAGCAGTTACAAGGTGTTTCCTAGCATTCAGAGTTAGACAGGATCTGTTTCTGAAAAAGAAACCCAGTTTTACGTTCAGTTTCTTTACCAAGTTTTTGACATGGAGCTTAAAAGAGAGATGTGAATCAACCAAAATTCCCAAGTATATGTAACAATCAACAAACTCTATAGGAACACCATCCGTAGATAAGATATTAGAAGCTGGTGCAGACTTCCTGTTTGGAAAAAAACATCCCTTTGGTTTTATCAGCATTTAGCACCAGTTTGAGATGGAACAAAACTGACTGGATGATGTTGTATGCAGACTGTAAAAGCTCGAAAACCTTAGCAACCATTTTAACTCGACAATAAACGATTGTGTTGTTGGCATAGAAATGTAGTGATGCATCAGTAATGATCTGTCCTACATTATTTATATAGATTGTGAAGAGGGTAGGACCGAAGACTGAGCCTTGTAGTACACCATTATTGACAGTAAAATAGATGGAAGAAGTACCATTATGTTGAACACGTTGCCTTCAATCTGAAAAGTAATTAGAAAACCTATTGATAGTATGGTCTGAGAAACCAATGTCTGAAAGCTTATGGCATAAGAGGTCATGGTATACAATATCAAAAGCTTTAGTCAGGTCTAAATAGAGTGCAACACAGTAGTCTTTAGCATCCAGTGCTTCAACAACATCATTAAAAACCTTCAACGAAGCAGTCGTGCTGTGTTGTTTCCTAAACCAGATTTTTCATTCAAGTTTATTTGAACAAGGACAGCACAATAAACAATGTTACAAGTTAAAAACGAAGCAACCGTTGTTTTGTACAAAGGTTTTCAAGCCACAGGCTAATTTGCAAACCCAGTCCTTGGTTGGACTTTTATATAAAAACAGCTAAAATAAAATTAAAATTTAATTAAAATTAAAATTTAATGAAATGTAAACAGTTTTCTCACACACATGCCTGCTCCTCCATCCTCATGGGGCTCAGTGTTCACAGATTTGGTTTTGTTTCAACCATTTTTTCACCATTTTTCACCAATGATGGGAAGATAAGATGTTAAAATGATCCACATACTTCTTGACAAGTATTTATCAATTTTTCTAAAACCTTAGCTAAAACACAGAGTTTAGAGTGGCCGATGGTTGTTCAGTATAGTGGGGTCTCCTCCCTTCAGTAAAGGGAGAAGAAAAGCTGTTTTCCAGGCGTTTGGAATAGTATGATGGACAGATTAAAGATGTGGGACACTGACTCTGCTATTTGTGCAGCTAGCCTTAAGAAATAAGGTGGAAGGTTGTCAGGGCCTGTAGATTTTCTTGGGTCCAGACCTTTTAACAGTTTATTAACTTCATTAAAAGAGAACAGTGAAAATGACAAGGTGTAGATTTCTGTGGATTGGCTTTAAGAAGAAATTTGATTTGTGGACGTCTGGTTTGAAGGAGAAGTAGTTAAATATCCATTGGTAACTGTGGCGAACAAGGCGCTATAGAACAAGTTGCTACAGGCAACAAAATGTTGAAACAATTTAGAATCAAATGCTTATTTGACACGGGAACAGAGTTAACAAGTAATTGTGGTGGTAGGTCAGATGAAGTGGAACTCCCGGAAAGTGATTTGATTGTTTTCCATAATCTTTAAGGGTCATTTAGATCTTTGGAGGTCTGAGATAGGAAGTAGTTACGTTTTGCAGCTTTGATGGAAGTTGTACAATGATTCAGCATCTATCGAAATTGCAAACAATCAGTGTCTGAACCACACTGTCTTGCTGTTGCCCAAAGCCGATCTCTCCTGTGTAGATCAACTATTTCAGAAGTAAACCTGAAATCTGTCCCATTCCTTTTATTCTGAACTGGAAAAAAGGGGCATGTTTATTTACAAAGTAGATGAAACTAATGTGAAAATAGTTCCAAGCGAGGTACACATTGTCAGTTAGTAGGGTACAATGCCAATCAAAATGGAAAAGGTCCCAAAGGAAGGCCTGTTCACTAAAATGTTTCATGTTCCTTTTTAGAATTAACCTAGGCTTGGAGTGAAGCAATGTAGTATCCCTAATGGCACAAACAATGCAATGGTTACTCATATCATCTGCAAAAACACCCAAACCAGAAAATGTACAAGGCCTCTTTGTTATAAAGAGACATCAAATAGATGATCTTCCTGGGCATTTAGTGTTTTAGTGTTTGGGCGGGTGGTAGTCAATGATTTGAGTGAGATTGAATGACATGCGTGTTAAGGCTCCAGTATACTCGCGCAAACCTTTTTCAATGCGGACTCGACACACACTGTTTGCAGAGAGTTGAGACTTAATATTCAAACGTCCACCGTGACTGGCTGCAGACCAGCTCTGCAGGCAAGGGGTGTTCACTTTAAGGATAAAATGAGGTCGCCGATCGGTCATTTGCTGACACGCCTACCGGATTGATTGACAGGTCGCAAAAAAAAACCCCCAAAACCCCGAGAGCTAGCAGCCCCAGCAGCAGCAGTGTTCTGTGTTTATATGTTGTTAATAAAAAGATCTAAAAAATAAACAAATACCAGGGAGTGCCGGCCCTGCAGCCCACACATCAGACCAGCCCACCAGGAAATCTCCAGACCCTCCTGCAGCCACGCTGGACCTGATTTTAATTAACTCATGACAAATTCCTTAATTTCTCACAATTTCAGTCATGGCGTCAACGGAAGAGGAAGAGATCACTGCCTTTTGGCAAAAAAACAAAAGAAAAGGCCAGATCAGGGATGAAGATGGGGAATTTAATACATTGGTGTCGCATACAAAACAGTCCGTCGCCGGGCAGTTAAATGTGCAACACCGAGTACGCATACATGGTTGTAAAAATTGAACTTTGCACGGATGTGCCCTCCGGGCATTCGCTTTGACTCTAATCCGGTATGCGTGGACCTCTGCGGACTGACGTATGACCGAGTCTACTGGAGGATTTAGACTGATTTGTAACTCTGTTTTCCTTAGGTGTGAATGAAAGTGAATGGCTGATTGCCTCGTTTGTTTCTATGTGGCCCTGTGATGGACTTGTACACCTGTCCAAGGTGTACCCTGCCTCTTGCACAGCGATAGCTGAAGATGGGCACCAGTGACCCCCGCGACCCGAAAAAGAAGAAGTGGGTAAAGATAATGGATGGATGAATGACAAACAAGATTTCTTAAAATGCTCAGAGCTCCAGGCGGCCGTGCATGGCCTCTCTTCTCTGAACTCCACTGTCTGACAAGGCACCGCAGCCTGATGAGAACGAGCGAGGCCTTCATCAGCCAATATTAGTTCTGGAGCTTTCTGCAGGTCTGCTAATTATCTGTTAATAGAACGAGCTCCATCTGGGAGCACGAGCACTCCTCTGTGCACGATGAGCACAGCTTTAATATCACTCCTGATGCCGTGAGCAGAATAACCCGGGTTCTATTACCATGGAGGCCCAAATGAGGAGCCGCGGCCCGACTGCTCTGAAGAGCTTCTTGCGCTGCAGCCCCCCAGGGCCCGTTTAGCTGCTTAATGTAATTCACAGTGAAGAACCCCTGTTAGCTGTGCTCGTTTGGACCGTTAGACTCGAGTCAAGGAGGAACGCTGCTTTATGAAGATCGTGTCTGTCAATAAATGTTCAGGCAAAGAGCTGTGTGTGTGTGTGTGTGTGTGTGTGTGTGTGTGTGTTCTGAAAGTTTGAATAGAATAATCAGATGTAAATATTTTAGTTTTGCTATTTAAATATATATAATTTGAAATGATGTAAAACAATATTTGAATTATCTCTAATTTATTTCAACTCAATTTGAATCGAATGATAAATTATGAACTGTTATCACCCCCACCGTCTTTCTGTTAGTAAGATAAATCTCTGAACAAATTGTAATTAAAGTTTTAGAAAATATTTTTTCATGTTCTGCTACATTTGATTAACTTCATAACAGCTGAGAGATGTTAAAAACACTAAAACAAACTTTATCTCTGTGTTTCAGATGATTTGATGGTAGAAGCTGAGACTGATATCTCTGATTGTTCACATTTGATTTTAAATTGTTTGCCTTTAACTCCATAGAATCAGCTGTCTGTTAGCAAAATATTATATGAAGCACTGGAAATAATCTCTGGATTTATGGTTACAATTAAATTCATCAATTAAATATGGCTGTCACATCAAACTCCATTTAGAGGTGATTAAAACACTAATTAATAACTATAGTTCAGTCGGTTCTACATATTTTTTGTTAAAATTCCTTCTTTAGTTTTAGGTTTTAAAATTAAATTTATTCAAATATGGGAATAACAATTGTAAACATTGCTTTTTATTATAAGTTATACATCATTTATTCACATGACATTGTTTTGTAAAATACACAACATGGCAGCAAACATTTTAAATAACTTTTCAACGTATTTATTTACACTTTATGCATTATTTGTCTCCTAACTGGAGCAGCTGTTGGTCCAGGACTGGACCAGGATCCTAAAACTCACCGCAGGTCTCAGAGTCCAGTCAGAACCAGGTGGAGGGGCAGAACCTCAGCTCTGCAGGTCCCTGGAGGCGTCGGAGATTGAGATGCTCTCGTGCAGCTTCCTGATGTGCTTCTTCAGGTCAAAGTTGCGGCAGAAGCCTTTCCCGCAGGTGGAGCAGGTGAAGGGTTTCTTGTCGTTGTGCGTGTGCATGTGGAACGTCAGGTTGTAGATCTGATGGAAGGCCTTGTTGCAGATGGAGCACTTGTACTGCTTCTCTCCGCTGTGGGTCAGCTTGTGGTTCTTGTAGTTCCCTAAATAAACCAACACGATAAACTAAATGTTCCCTCATCAAATCTGGAGCTCATCAGTTCAAATATTCTACTTTTGTTTTGCTGTAAAACAACATTAAAACAATCATGACCCTCAGATGTTTCTACTAAAATAAAGATGTTTTGTCCAAACAAATATTTTATTTTCTACACATCTGAATGAATTTAGATTTATTTTTCTGTGAAATGTGAACACAAACCAGCTGTTACTAAATCATTTATTATTATTATTATTGTTGTTGTTGTTGTGGTTGTTGTTAATAATAATGCTGTTTTTTAACTGTTTGGACTCCATGTTTAACGAGTCTAAAATTAATGTCTCACATCATCTGCAAATGGTTTGAACTCAGATCATCATGTGATGAGAAACGATGACATGTGGTCCTCAGATTTCAGGAGTACTCTCAGCTACTACCACCAAGCTGAAGCTGTTTAATGTGCGGGGTCAGAGGGATTAGCCATGTTGGCTCTAACTGCTCACCTTGCAGCAGTTTCATTAAGACTTCAGTGGTTCACAAGATATTTTGCTAACAGGTACATACGGTTGAGGCCAAACTATAAACAAATATGTTGCACAACGTGCACTTCCAGTAAACTTTGGGGACGACGCTCAGCTACTACCAGGTGGACGTGGCAGCCGTCTTGGATGGGAACAAAAAAGTTAACAAGTGAAGCTGCTTTCCGCTCTCAACTTGTCAAAGCTGACCCGGACCCAAACGTGCTGGAAAGTGACAGCTTCTGTTTCTAATGATCCATGATCCGTCCTGAACACCCCCCCCCCCCCCCCCCCCGGCGATAATGGGCCCGTCAAGTATCTGTGGATTCCTCAGGACTTTGACCACATTGCTCCACAGACCTCACACAAACAGTCTCCAGCGGGGTGGGGGGTGGGGGGGTTTCAGTCACCCTCTTTCATGGAGGGAGGAAAGTATATAAATTTAATTTACATTATTTATTTATTTGCTTGTTTATTTATTTTATTGCTTCAATTTTTAAAGCAGTAATTGAAAGGCTTTGTAATAATAAATATTTTTGTCTTGTGGCCCGGACAATAAATAAAAACAACAAAATAATATGAGAATGAAATTTAAACATTGAGCTCAGATTTTCATCCTGATGTTTCAAATGTTTTAATTCAATTCTTGTGAAGAAAAAATAAAGGTAAAATATTTTTATTATAATTATAATTATATTAAAAAGAAACTGTCCAGATGACAATATTTAACCCTTTTTTGTGATTTATCTACATGGATGATTGAGCTTTCAAACCTTTAAAAAAAAAATTTATTATATGTTTATGAATTCATTTTTTCTGTAAATATCTGAAAGTCTTTTCAGTAGATTTGAACCGTCCAGCTCAGAGCAGACCAGAACAACAAGCATCATTTCCTCTGAATAATGTGAACTGTTGAGTTTTGGTGGGTTTGTGTGGTTCTGGTACCTTTCTGGTGGAAGCCCTTCCCACAGAACTCGCACACGAACGGTTTGTATCCCGCGTGGATCCGCACGTGCGTGTTGAGTGTGGAGCTCCTGTTGAACGCTTTCCCACACTGGCTGCATTTATGGGGCTTCTCCTTTGGTTGGGGGGGGGGGGGGGGGTAGTTGAAGTAAAGCAGAAGATAGTTTGTCTATCTGTTGTGGATCTAGAGTAGAAGACAGTTGTTGTATTTGTTGTGGATCTACACCCCCTCACCTGTGTGTGGATGATCTTGTGCCTGCAGAGCGTGCTCGCCTGGCGGAAGCCCTTCCCGCACACCTTACACACGAAGGGCCGGGCCCCGGTGTGCACGGGCATGTGTCGGGTCAGGTTGTAGTGCGCGTTAAATACCTGCACACACCAGCACCAATTCAAAATGATTACATTTTACATGCTGTCCTAAAATTAGACGTTTACATTGGAAATAATAATTTAATCATTTTGTTTAGAACTGTTAAAAATTATTTTAAAAACATTTCAAAGAAAGCTGTGTCAAAAAAACACACAAACAAATAAATACACAAATATATAGCATAAATAAATAAATAATGAATAGCATAAATAAATAAATAAATAAATTAATTAATTAATTACCTTTCCGCACACTTCACATGTGAAGTTCTTGTGTTTCCCATCTGCTCCAGTCCCGGTTCCGCTCACCTTCCCGTGCGCCTTCATGCAGTTCTTCTCGGCGGACAGAACCTGGTTCTCCTTCACGATGTGGTCCAGCTGGCCCGGCAGGTGCTCCTTGTGGGGGTACTGAGGGGTGGGAAGCCTGTCGGAGCCGCTCAGCTTGCTGTGGTCCAGCAGCAGCAGTCTGTGGTGGGCCGACAGGGGGGCCTGGGCCTGCGGCCCGGAGAACCAGGGTCCGGCCAGCAGCTCGGACTGCTGGTAGTTCAGGTAGTAGAGGGACGCGCAGCTGGGCACGGACACGGCCTGATGCACAACCTGCGGTTTCACCACTCTGCTCCCGTGCGTCGGTACCGGCTGCTTGAGACCCGGGCAGGCCCTGAAACTGGATCTCCACAGTTCAGAGTAGTTCATCAGAGCCTTGGTGTGCAGGTCGTAGCTGAGGGGCTGCAGGGGGATCATGCAGGGGATCGGAGAGCAGAAACCCAGCAGCTTCTTTCCCTCGGAGCGCTCCTCCGAACCCCACCTCGGTTCTGAGCTTTTGGACATGATTCGCTCGATGGAGAAGGCCAGGGCCTTGGGGCCCGCGGTGGGCCCAGTCCTACCGCAAGACATGACCGAGTCCATTTAGTCCTGGTCCCAGCAGAACCTGTTGACTGCTCTCCTGTATGGTTCCGACCCAGTTGTGATTTCAGTTTCCGGAGCTCCCAGCAAAACCAGAGCACATCAGTTCAATCAGAACCATCCTGTCAGAGGCATTTGGACTGAAATGAACCCAGAACAACAGCATCCGGGTGGGGGGCGGGGGACTAATCCTCATTAACTACTGACCCGGAATGGACGGAACCTCAAGGTTCGGTGGCGACAGGAGGAAGAGGAGTGTGTTGTGTCAGAGGTTCTGCTCAGATCAGAGTGAAGAGAGCACGCGGCAGCCACTTCCCGCCCCCTCCTCCTCATCATCATCATCATCTGCTGGTACGGGAGGAGCCGCCCCCCACCAACCTGAGAGCGGGTCAACATGTTCTGACCCGGATCATTCAACAGAACCCGGGAGGACACCCGGCTCTCCTTTCTTCTTCCTCTTTTCTTTCACCGTCTGGGGCTTCAGATGAGTTCGAGGTTGTCCAGTTTAAGATTCTCCCTTTGGACCCAGAACCCTTTGGACCCAGAACCCTTTGGACCCAGAACCCTTTGGACCCAGAACCCCGGGACTCTGGCTCCACTTTCTAAAGAAACCGTTTTACAGCAAGATTCAAAGAAAAGTGAAGAAAAACCTCTGAGCAACTAAAAGCACCGCGTGAGTCGTGCACGTGCGTGTATGTGTGTGTGTGTGTGTGTGTGTGTGTGTGTGTGTGTGTGTGTTGGGTGGGGGGATTAAAGAGGGGAGGGGGGACAAAGATTTTCTTGCTCAGCCTCAGACTAATGGAAGGAGAGACTTTCTAAAGAAGTTTGTTGGAATTTGCAGAACAATCCGCAGCAGCGGTGTAAGCAGGAGATTTAACGTGTGCATGTGTGCGCGCACGTGCGTGTGTGTGCATGCACACGTGTGTGTGTGTGTGTGTACACATTTCAACCTACATTAAAAAAAAAACTCTAGTACCTTCTTCTCAAATACAGTTTATTTAGACACAAAATGTAACATGAAGACAAAATTAATTTCAAATTCAATCTAGCAGCTTGAAAAAAATAAAAAAATAAAAATAAAAACCATCATTGTTTATAGGGCGGCACGGTGGCGCAACTGGTAGAGCTGCTGCCTCTCAGCGAGCACGTCCCTGGTTCAAACCCCGGTCCAGGGGCCTTTCTGGGTGGAGTTTGCATGTTCTCTCCGTGCATGCGTGGGTTTTCTCCGGGTGCTCCGGTTTCCTCCCACAGACCAAAAACATGCATGTTAGGCTGATTGGTAACTCTAAATTGTCCCTAGGTGAGAGAATGGTTGTTTGTCTCGTTTGTCTCTATGTGTCCCTGTGATGGACTGGAGACCTGTCCAGGGTGTCCCCCGCCCCTCGCACAGTGATTGCTGGACATGGACACCAGCGACCCCCGTGACCCAAAAATGGAATAAACGGGTAAAGAAAATGGATGGATGGATCATTTTTTTATAGAAAATAAAAAGTTACACTAAATGAACTAAATTATTTTGAACATGAGCTCAGAATAAACATATCTATTTAAAGATTGGGAAGAATATGTATAATATGATTTTTATAGAATTAAAAAGAGGCCAATGTCTGTCCCTTTATTTAAAAGGAACATATTTACGTTTGGCACATTGAAAAAAATGTATAAAATATTAGTCATATTTGTTTATTTGGTTATGAACAATTTGTTAAAATAAATAAATTTATATTGTTTTAATTTTTGTCATTTTGTCTGATTTACCAGATGTTTGGAAAAACTCTTATTTTAATGACTCATAATCAATTAAATTATTATATGTTTGCAACATGTTTTATTATGTTTCCTTGAAATGTTTGCAAAACTGCACTTTCTGTTGTTCTCCTCAGTAAGCCGTCATAAACACATTACCTACTTCAGACAAAGGTTGTGACAGTTGGATTAATGAAGGGGAAGGAAGTTTTATGTTTTGTATTATTAATTGTGTTTAAAAAAAAGTCCAAGGAAAATGGCAAAAACTGGCTTTATTACTATTATTGCTATTAAAATCAATATAATACATTTCCCACATGAGGACACGTGACCCGTGTGTCAAAACATTTCTGGACTAAACATTTAACTCCTTCC